TAGCCCTTCTAGCGATCCTAGTCTAAGCACATCAAAAGATTAGAGATGGTGAGGCAACTGTCGTACACCATTCTCGCAGGAGTTATATATTTTTCTATATTGGGTATCAAGTATAAACATCAAAAACAACTCAAAACACAATACCAGACCATACAATATGGGCACCGTCATTAGAAATGTTGTTTTTAATTTTTTTTTAAATCCAAATTTCTTGGCATCCGCTTTGGATGCTTCATATTCACGACAATGTCAATTCCCACGCAATCAAGATCAGCTGTGTTGACGTCTTTACATTAATATGAGCACGTGGTGCATGGATTCTGTGTTGTTCGCCTTATCCCTGACTACGATACGGGTTTCGTTCTTCTTCGAAGCTATGTTTACGAAATTGCATACATTTTGGGCTACGATTGAACACACTTTTATTGAATTATATTTCTTTTGCGAACATCTAAAATTAGTGATTTTTTGCCAGAACTTACTGAGCACAAAGTGTAATAGCACGAGACTGTCCGATGAGTGCCTCCTCAGCTTCGTTTAGCAATGTGCATTTTCTCATCTGATTTCTGTTGTTGGATATGCTGTTAGATAAATTCTTTTCTACTGTCATTATTTTGTCATCTTGCGATTTTTGAAATCTAGTCGCTCTGAATTAATATTTGCTTGCTCAGCCTCTGACCAACAGCTGATAATTCAATAAAACAATGCAAGTTTTTATGCATATTGAAAACTGGGCTTAAGGGTGTAAATAATTTTCCATGATGCTACAATTGCGACGAAATTTGGAAGCTGCCCTAAGTTGTGTAATAATGGTCGTCCTTTGTATGAAGTGTCTAAGTATAACTAGTTAGTGTTTTCATCTGCGGCCTTTTGACGGTGACGTCCAACGAAGATATACGTAAATATTTAGTACTTTGTTGTACGCCCTTTCTCACTCAAGTGTCAGTTACAGTGCTTTTAGTCTCGTGATGTTTGATCTCAACTATTTGTTTTTACCATCAGCATTGACATAATGTTCAGCTCAGCTGGCCGTTCTTGCGCTGATCGATTTTTATCTATTCTATGCGCTTGAAACGCACGTTACCTCATGTTCTACATTTTTTGCTCTGATGCTAGGCAAAAACTTTTGGATTTTCAGATGAGTATGAAGTTCCGTAATTTATGTTTCAGTTTTCTGAAATGTCGTTTGAAGTAGTGCTTTTCCTCTTCCTTAGTCGACCCAATGCTAAATTTTGGATTCTGGGATCTTTGTCCTAGAATCGCACATTTGCCATAGGTTTTGCTATCAATCAAATAAGAGAACCATTAAAAAAAACACTAGCGCAAGCTTCGGCCGTCGTGTTCCATTTACGCGGCACATTGATAATCTAAATAAAATGAAATCTCTATATTTCTTTCGTTTAACAGCTACAATTAAATGTTCCTCCTCCTTTGATATAATAAATATGTGGTACTTCTATGATAATCAGCCTTAATCAATGCGTATTCACTGTAGAACATGGACGTTTGGCTTTGCTCACATGATGCGAATATAAAG